GGTGGGATGGGGTGCCGGCACGGGGGGTCAGGCCGGGCTCGGGGGGTCTCGGACGGGAGGAGGGGGGTCTGTACGGGAGGGTTTGTACGGGAGGGTTTGTACGGGGGTGCCCCGCGGGGCACGGGCATCCCCCCCGGCAGACCGGGGGGATTTGGGATGCGGGGTCTAGGGGAGCGGCTCCTAACGGGACACCCCGGTGCGGAGGTCAGAGCTGGGCAGACACCCGGGGCTGGGGTCGGGGGGATCCCGGCTGAGCTCAGCTGAGCCCGCCCGGACGGGGTTAATGCCACCGAGCTCCGCGGGTCGCTCTTCCCCCCGCCCGGTCCCGCTCCTCTGCACAGCGCACACGTCCCCCGTGTCCCTCTTTCCCCTTCCTCTCCTTGTCCTTCCATGTCTCGGGGAAGCAGCGGTTGCGATCTGAAGCCTTTCCCCCCCCCCCGGCTCCCCCCTCGCCGCCCCCCCGTTCTCCGTCTCGCAGCCGCTGCCTGCGAATGCCACGTAGCCTTGTAGTTGTTCCCCTTGGCTGCTCCCAGCTCAGTCCCAGACACCTCCCCCGGCTCCTCCTGGGGTCGGGGCAGGGGGAGGTCACTCCTGTCAGCCCCTGTTTGGGTGGTGACCATCTTCTGCCCTCCCCCTTCGCGCTTTATTCCCCCCCACCCGCCTTGGGGCAGCAGCAGAGGGGACCCCACTGTGAGCACTCTTAGCCCGATCCTATTTACCGCCTCTCACAAAAGGCTGGGGACTCCAGCAGCATGTGGTTCCCTTCCCGCAGGGCTTTGGGGAACAGTCTCTAGGGATTCTTTGCCCCCAGCCTCAGCTGCCCCTCTGCTGCCTCACATTGGAGGTGTTTCATGTGATAATCTCCCAAAACAGGGCAATAATGAGTTGCTGGCAGGTGTATTTGCTCCCTTCAGCAGCTCACTCAGCTGGTTTCTGAGTTTTGTTTCTGTTTAAAACTTGGTTGGAATGATGGAAACTTTCTGCAAAGCCGATTTTTATAATTGAGGTTTCAATTTCCATCCATTCTGCTGGTATTTTATGTGTTTGCTGCCCTGTGGTAGTTAAAGTTTTTAACACTGGCAGCCCTCCCTTGCTTTCCCTGCTGCCTGATTGGGACTACTGACACACAGATAAGTTCCTCTGCTGCCCGATCCACATATGGCTGTGACCTGTGATTCCTGATGTTTTCCTAATGTATTTGTCTTTACAACACTTAGTTCAATAGAGAAATACTATCTCAGTCACAGATGGAAAGACTGAGGCACCGAAATATTTATGGCCCAAGGTCACACAGGAAGTATGTGGTGAGGCAGGGAATTGAATCTAGATTTCCTGAGCCTCAGATTAGCATTTGAACCAGGGAAGCATCATCCTCTCAGTGTTTTAAGCCAATAAATTGAACTTGGAGTTAAGATCCAGCATAAAAGAAAGTACTTTGTGTCTAGTTCAGTATCCTTGTGAGTAAGAAGCAAAACCCGAGTTGCTTCCCACACTCACATTCCTTCCCTGGGTTTATGTAATTTGTGAAAAAGGATAAGGTGGTAAAATGGGAAAGATGTTGACTTTCTCAGGGCTCAGTGTGTGTGATCATGCATGTTGAAAAGCAGCCAGCTATTGCACTCTGCTCTTTTAGGGCTTTTTACCTTCCTGTGTTCCAAATCTCGGAAAGTTTTGGAGTTGTCTGGGAATCATTTGTTCTCATCTAGGATCAAATAAATCTAATGTTCTGTAGAGCTGAACCAGTCGGATCCCAGATCTCAGTTTGGGATCCTTCACACGGCAGCCAGTGGATAAACAGGGCTGGTATTGATGTCTTACACATCCCCTGGAACAAGCTCTTACAAGTTGTTCACTCTGTTGTAGCTCAGGATTGTTGCAGCAAGTTTTTGGAAAACTTGGCCTTAGCTGGAATTAAGCAGCACTTTGACAATGCAGTGGAATAATTTCAGCTCCTTGGGCTGTGTATGTGCACAGATACCCACTTCAGGCTACTTTTATTGCTGTTCTCTGGGGTCACGTTATTTTTGTTGGTGATTAATAGTTAATTTTACTGTAGTGGTTTTGAGAAATTGGATGTTAGAATGGCTGAAAACAATAACTCCTCATGTATTCACCTTTAGAGAGAAGAAAGATAACTTTGTCTACACACATCCATTTCCTGCCACAAGCCTTGATCACAAACTGCATCTTTCTTTGATGTTGCACTGAAACCAAATCTGCAGCAAAGTTGGATATAAATGTTCTATAGAGCTCTTTTAACACTCTTTTGTTTGGGGCTTTCTGGAGGGTGGCATTGGCATCGTGTTTGCTGTGGGGCTTTTCCCACCCACATCAACAGCCCTTCATCTTTTACAATTATTTTTAGGAAAAGGTTGGTGAGTCCTTAAAATTTCCTATGGACTGTGCAGACAGGAAAAATTCCAGAATCCTGCTCCCGAGGGTGCCTGCTGAATTTCAAGCAAATCAAAAATCCATCTTTGAAACTTGGAAGAATGAAACTGGCATTTTTATTTGGTGACTTGCTGTTCCCACAACTTGGGAGACTTCTTGTCAAACTGTGGAGGAAAATACGTGACTGGGAAGACATTCTTATAATACTGTGCATCAAAGTCAGGAGCTGGTATGAAATATTGTAAGAATGCCTTCCCTAGTTACATATTTTCTTAATTTCCTGCCATGATTTCATTTAATCGGGGAAGAATTTTAAATTTATCTCTGAAAGCAGATGAGAAAACCTCAGTATTAGTAATACTGCAACAGCCAAGAGGCTTGAGGATAAAAATTACATTTCTCACTTCTAATTTTGGGCTGTCTCAAACCCGCCAGGTCTGAACTCTCAGTACTTAAACCTGTGCTTGCTCTCAGGGCTGGTGGATGGGGGAGCAGTGACCTGTTCAGTTTTTCACCTGTTCTTAGCACGTTGTCATGAAGCTTCCCAAGGTCAAGATGGTTAGTTTTCAGCTGTTATCTTTGCTGCAAGCCAGACCTTCACTGAAAAGTTTTGGATTCCTGAGTGAGGAGCGCACACTGAACTCTTTATTGCATTCTTGAAGAGCTTATTGTAAAAGCAGCGATAATTTATTCTCTCAGTGGTGCTGACACAATCCTTGCTGTGTATTGACCAGCACAGACACACCACTGGCTCCCAGCCCTTCGGCCCTTTCAATCCTAATGTAAATCTCCCCTTGTTCCCAGTGTCTTGATTGATGTGGAAAATGCCTCCTTTTGCCCAAATGTACTTTTCCAGCTTTGGGGCTGGTCATTTATATGATATATTTTTACCTGTGCCTTATTAAAAGTCGTTCAGTAGGAACATGTGACTTCAGAAACATCTTCAAGTGACTTCAAGGCAGTGTCACCTTTCTGGTGACAGTGGCAGTGGATTGGGGTGTGGGAGCTTCTCCTGGCTGGGCTTCCTGCACAGGGAACCACAGGGACAGAGATTTCTTGAAGCAAACTGCAGAACACACCTGCCTGGGCTTTACCTTTAGAGATTCAGGAGGAATTTCCTCATGGAAAGGGTGGTCAGGCACTGGAAGGGGCTGCCCAGGGGGGTTTGGAGTCCCCATCCCTGGAGGTGTCCCAGGAATGACTGGCCGTGGCACGCAGTGCTCTGGGCTGGGGGACAAGGTGGGGATGGGGCACAGGGTGGACTCCATGGGCTGGGAGGGCTTTTCCAACCCCAGAGCCTCTGGGATTCTGTGAAAAATTGTATTGGGAATTGACTGATATCTGCAAAGACTTCCTGTGTGTGGAGGGCCAGGACAGGGCTTAGTGTGCAAATGGTTTAGGAACTGGAATTCGGTACTGGATGCAGTAGCTCGAGAAAGGTGATAATTTTACATCATTAAATAATAACATCTTGAATGGCTTCAGCCACTAGTGAAGCTTTAATTACCTTTAGTGGAGCAGTCTCTAGAATAAAGCCATGCTGCCCCATAACAGCAAACTGGGATTGTATTTCCAGATTTATGTACAATTTATATCGTTTTATGCACCTTACCAGAGGATAAATATGTGCACGGCAGTTTAAATGTGCATGTATTCGCATACTTTTTGGAAATGGATTTTTTTCATCCCTATTGTCATATAGAGGAGTAGAGCAGAGATAGATAACTAAGTAAATACATTTACTATCCAAAGACTTGTCTCATCCCACTGTCCACACTGCCTGTCCCTCAGCCATTGCTCACACTCCTAGCTGAGCAGGGCAGTGTCTTGGCAGTGCTCTGGAGCCTGGGCAGCGTTGGGCAGTGTCAGCTCTGGCACTTGGGACGTGCTGGGTGACCCCAGGAATGCCATGACAGCTCTGCTGGCTTTTCCCTTTTTCCTTGAGCTGTGTTTGCTGTTCCCGTGGAGTTGTAGCCATTGGCTGGCCCTTCATGGCTCCTGCTCTTTTAGTGACTCTGCCCCGTTCTCTGCACCTGGTTTTTCTTCAGACTTTGAGGGGAGACCTCACTGCAGTTCCAGTGTGCTGGGCAGGGGCAGAGGAGGGGCAGGACTGAGCTCTGCTCTGGGGGGACCAGGGACAGGACCCAGGGAATGGCTGGAGCTGTGTCAGGGCAGGCTCAGGTTGGATCTCAGGGAAAGGTTCTTCCCCCAGAGGGTGGTTGGGCACTGCCCAGGCTCCCCAGGGCAGTGGGCACAGCCCCAAGGCTGCCAGAGCTCCAGGAGGGTTTGGCTGATCCTCTGGATGTGCTCATGATGTGACTCTTGGGGATGGGCCTGTGCAGGGCTGAGGGTTGGACTGGATGGTCCTTGTGGGTCCCTTCCAACCCAGCACATTCTGTGCTTCTGTGACTTGCCAAGGCACTAAAATGAAGATGACTGGTTTTTCTTGCCCGCAGAGAGAGGACTGAGGGCAGCACTCGTTGCTCCCTCGGCAGCACCGGCCCTGGGACACTCACCAGCTGCAGGAATTCCGAGGCAGGAGAGTGGCAACGGTAATTACACACAACTTACTGTTCTTTTCTGAAGCACTTTTTTCTCATTAAGTCTCTAAGTAACACTTTAGGTTGAAATAAATATATTTGACAGGCTTTTAAACTTAGGACTCCTTTTCCTGGAAGAAATTTCTGGATGATTTATTATCGAACGGAAAAATGAATTAGGGAAGGAAGAACTGATTGGGTTCTTGAGGTAGGAAGAGGGTCAGTGTTTTCTCAGAAACTCTACTGGTTTTGTCAGGTGGCAGCCTTTCCTCCATTTTCACATTTCTTGCTCTTTCTCTCCCTCCCATCCCTTAGCTGGAAGTTTTGTCTTGGAGAGAGTTGCATAATTGGCTTTGGATAAAGCAAGTAAATTCTGATATTAGCAAAATGTATTTCCTGTGTGGAGAACAGCTGCATTCTGATAGTGCCCTGCTCAGATCCTTTGGGTTTAGTTGGAGATCATGGAATGGAGTTACTCCTCTGGAATTGCTCAGGTCATGGAACTGATCTGCTGGAAAAGCAGGAAGAAATCTGTCAGGAACTTGCCAGGGTTTGAGAGCAAGAATTCTTCAACTTCACTTTTTTTTTTTTTTTTAATGGGGAGTCCCATGAGTTATCTTCTAATGTACAGCACTGTAAGAGCCTTGTGAAACCATGGGGATTGCATTCCTGAAAATACAGGTAGCCAAAAGTCCAGGTGAGTTTTGGAAGCAGTTGGCTGCCCAGCGTGTTTTCCATGGGAGAACAAGCAGGTGCAGTGTAAAGTCTTTGTGACTCAGAAATCACTTTGTTGTATCGAAAGGCACTCAGGCAGTTTAGTTTTTCTGTGAGGGGAGGGTGTTTTTGCTGAGGTCAAGTCCCCTCTAGTGAAGAATCAACTTCCATGTTATGAATATGCACCAAAATTCAAGTGTAATATGCAAGTTTCAACTTAGCAAAGAGCAGTTTCTCCAGCTTCCTAAACATGGGTGGTTCACAGTTCTCTAATGCAACAGAAGAAATTATATTAAAAAATGAGTGTTATCTGATGGATGTAGAGTAGAATGTGGTGTGAAACTACAGTAGCACAAGACAAGACTTTGGGGAGCAGTGTTGGAAAGCAAAAGATGATCAGCAGATAGATTTCTTACAAGATATGGAGAAAAACCATGGTTATCATGCTGTGTTCTCTGCAGCTGAATAGATATTTGGGAGGAAAACCATTTAATCAGGTTAAATACAGGTTTATAAATTCAGATGGAGTTTTTTTTAATCTGCTGTTTAATGCCCTTTATCAGATACCTTCAGCATTAGTATCTCTTCAACAGGGCTGAGTTGCTCTCAGTTCTGCTGGGTGAGGTATGAAAGTGTCCCAGAGCAGTGGAGTGATCAGTGCCACTCTTGTGTCACTTGGGTTTCTCCTCCAGCAGGTACTTGGAGGGATAAAGGCAGAGTTTAATGTTTGTGTGTGAGGGGTTTTAGTCTCCTGAAGGACTTGCAGGATGGTGCAGTTGGTTTTGAGCAGATTGGCTGTTCCCAGCAGAACCTTTAATCTGCTCAGCCTTGTGTGTATTTTTGTCCATTGCCATGTCAGGGGTGAGAATTAGTTAGAATTATTCAGGTTTGGAAGGTGTTGTGTAAACAACAGTTTGTATTGTAAACTGTCATTTTGCTTTTCGATACCTAGAATTCTTAGAGCATAAACTTTATAAAAACTTACATATAAACTGTCATCCTTATGTTCTTCAAAACTGATAATTTCCACTTAGGCTCTTATGTAAAATATGATTATATTTCTAAATTTACAGCAGATTAACTGATTTACTAATACATATTTAAAGCTGATGCAGAAGGAAGTGATTTCAGTGTGTTGCCATCCATCAGCTGAGCTGTGTCAGTGGTTCTGTGCCCAGACCTGGCCTGTCACACTCTGAGGGAAGTGCTCCTACTCAAACCTCATGTGGGTGACCTCATCCTTGCATTTTCCCTTGCATTTTCCATGAACTACAAAAATGCACATGGTCTGTTGCCACGGGACTGCTCAGCTGTGATAATTAAAGTAATTTATTGGTGTGTTTTAGCCCTTAGTTTAAGTATAACCTGTTTTAACCAGACTAATTTCACTGCTCAGCTAAAGTGTTACAGCCTGAGCCTCTGCTCGTGTTGCACAAGGAAAACAGTCTCCAGTTGGTGTATCAAAATAATTCATCCTTGCTTGGAGTTTGCATAATCTCTTCCAGTCTGAAGGAATCCTTTGCTTTCACTGGGCTTTTATGGTTGTTTTTGAAGTCATGGTTTGTAGGAGAGCTCTTAAATGGAAAAGGCTTGTTTGTGTTGCTGTGCTGACAGGCTGCATCAGGCACTTGCTGGAAGAAAGTGCTGGAAAATCAGCCTTTGCAGCAACCTGGAAGCAAACTCCTGCTTGTGTCTCCATCCTGGGAAGTGCTGATTTCCCTCCTGTTTTGTTGGATGAGACACCAGCTGTGTGCTCGGAGCAGTCCCGTGGTAGGAGCCTTTCCTGGAAGTGGCCTTGTTGTGTTGGTTTTAATAATCTGCATGATTGGGCTCCCTGAGTCAGACCTAAAGTAAATAAATTGTTGGAATACAGAATGCAGGCGTTTGGAAAAGAGCTTTTGGATCACCTTGGGGTTGTGCCACACCAGCTGTGTGTGTGTCTGCCATCCCATAATTGCTCTCCAGCTTCATTTTTAGGGATTACCCAGCTCTGGCACTAAAAAGGGCAGAGTTTTGGGGCTTTCCTGGTGCAATCCCAGGAGTTTCACCCAGGTCTGGAGACACAGAGGACAAAGCAGAGCAGCCAAGCTCAGTGGGCACTGAAATTTGCCACTTCCCACCTGCTCCTCACGTGAAGATTCTAAAAAAAAGCTTTTCCAAATCCTTAACCTTTATTCCTGCCGTGAACTGGGTGTTCCTCGCTGCAGGGAGGGGACTGGGACGAACAAGGTGCCATGGAATGATGTGTTCCTGTTGGAATGGATGTGTCTGCACACACAACAAACCATTCCTCTGGGTTCTTGCCAGTCTTGGAAACGGAACTTTTTCCCTTGGACTTCAAACAGGTTGGGAAACGAGCAGAAATTTTTTATTTTCAGGAGAAAAAATGATCATAAACTGGGTTGAATTTTACAATCCACTTCAGATTTTTCCCACTGGGAGGGGTTGTACTCAGTTATCCAGATCCTTAACCTGGATTTCAGAGCCTCAGAGCATGGGCAGGTCCCTGTAGGAACATGCAGTTCCCAGCTGGTAAAACCTTGGCATGCTTTGAACCACTTTGCTTCACCTGCTCAGCTGTGTTTCTTTGAGGTGTAAAATCCAGCTGCCTTTTTGCTCTTTAGAGATTGGGTCTGTCTGAACTTGGTCAGAATTTTTTTTTTGATTACTTTTCAGTGGACCACAGTGTATCTTATTCCCATAGTTTCCAAGTGATTTAGATAACCACTGGAATATAGAATTTCCATAGTATGTTGTCAGTGTCTAAATAAACTGGTTTCCTTCAAGGCCTAAAAAACCAGAATAATGTGGTTTTAAATTCAGTTAAAATTCAGTTTCACACTTGGGCTTCAATACATTGTATTTATTTAAAGCTTTTTCGTATCAGCTTGAAAAATTCTTGCATTAAAATGAGCAACTCAGCTGATGCCAGAACATGTAATTTTCCTAACAGGTGGAAAGGAGCAGTTTTACATTTATTTTTTTTTTTTTAACAGCATTGATATAGCTGGAAAATACCTTAGTCCCATTATTTTTTTAAGTTGAAATAAGAATGAAATACTTCAAGGGCTCAGTTCTTTGAGGTGCTCAGTTCTCTTCTAGAAGCAGGATTAGGATGTTTCAGGAACTCCTGGGTTTGAGTTTATGGGACTGGTCAATTAGGAAGGAGCACACAAGTGCTTAGGATTTGGCTCTGCTTTTCTGGCAATGAGAGAAAAGACATAAAATTATAACTAAAGCAATGAAGGAAAATATTTATCTAAAAGTTATGTCATGTTTGCATTACAGAAACTGTTACTGCAAACTTTGCAGGCCTCATAAAAGAATAATTCTGAGGACAGACGTGGCCCTCACGTGAGCATATTGTTAAATAAGAGCTCAAATCAAACCTGATGTGCTCTGGCAGTGACAGGTTCTTTATTCCCAGCTCACAGCTCTTCCCAGGGCAGTTTCTCTTGTGAAGAACAGCAGAAAGTTGTGCAGTCCCTGGAAAAGTCTGTGACTCTGGAGGGTGGGCTGTGACCTCCCCCGACTGGTCATTGGCCTCTGTGTCCCCTGGAATCCTCAGGGATGGACTTGGAGGCTGGAAAACAATCCTGGAGTGCAGTGGGTGGTTCTTGGGGAGTTTGTGAGTGAGGGTGGAGAGGAGCAATTGTTTTATTGCTTTATTGCACGGTCACAGCAGGAACCTGATCCAGGTGGATAAGGAGGATGGAAGGGGATACTGTCCCTCAGGTCAGAGCTCCCACGTGTCTCCGTGGGCTTTATCTGCTGTTTCTTGGTAGCTTCAGGGATTTCAGTGTCTGATATGAGGGTTTCCATCCCAATCTTACTCCTCCTTCATGGAGAGTTTTAGGACTCAGTTCCCTGCGAGGTGAGCATTAATACTCCATTAAAATCCGTCTGTAATTTGGGGGTTGCTGGAAGCAAACACTTGGAGCAGAGTGTAGAAACCTGGTCCTCTGTGTGTGTGTGGAGCTGGGGTGCAGTTTTACTGAGTTCTTAACGTTTTCCTGGGGTTCCAGAGCTCACCTGGGTCAGTTTTACCTGGATCAGAATGGCTTTGGGCTCTCAGCTCTCAGTGTTCCAAATGTTTGAGCCCATTCTCTGGGTCAGTCGTGAACATTCTCAGGATCACACGAAGTCGTGTTGCCCTCCTGGCTGGAAGCCAAACTTCACACAAGATGCTGCTGACAAACTCACTGGGGTGTCGTTATAAATGATGCCCAACATTTTAATCCAAACATGTATTTAGTGGGGGAACAGATGATTTATGGAGTGGTGGTGGTCCCTCCAGA